ATCATCCTTCCACTCGGTCCTTTCCTATACCCTGGACTAGAATGTATTGACAGAAAGGTCTTTTTTCTTCCCATTTGTCTCCCTGGGGACTTTCTCTTGTTATCAGGTCTCAGCAACACAGAGGAGCCAGTCTAAGATCTGAAATGGGCTTCTGCCTGAGCAGTTGCCGTGGCTTCTTGCACCTCACTGTTATTTTGATGCCCAAGGTCTTGTAGTATGGGCCTTGTCTGGTTACAGGGCTTGAACATGGAGGGATGCTGCCAGTCTGATTCAGCTGCAGTAACCAGCATGGTTTTGGTGGGACACTAGTTGTACGATTCCCCTGGGGCGTGAGGGCTGACTGGGTCTTAGCTTGCTCTGGTCCTTAGACTCACAGGACACTCATTTTCTCAAAGAGGATAATGCTACTATTGAAAGGATAGAAAGGTGTGAAGAGAAAAGATAAATAGAACATGGAATTAGGAACAGAACATGTGCATTACTCAGCCTTTTCAATGCATAATAAAAAACATTTATATGAGATTAAATTCAAGCCTTGTGTAAGTGAAAGAGAGATACCATACTTGCTTTCTACAAGATGCTAAATTTTATCTAAGCAGCTTTGCTTTTTTTAACAACAACAACAAAAATTTATGCAAATGTTAACATCTCCAAACCTACCTCTGCTACAATTTATTTTAGTAATCTGATGGCTCCTTTTTACATGCCAGTTTGCTTTCATTTTGAAATCACCAGTTGTGACCTGGAGCCTCCAGCAGAAAGCACCAGGGGAGACTCAAGGTTGACCCCTAGGGTTTTGGCTCTGGGGATACAGAGGATCTGAGCCCCACTAACTGAAAAAGAGATACCGGCAGCTTATGAAGGGGTTTGAGCAGTTATATGCCAGTTTGCTTGCATTATGAAATCACCTGTTGTTGACTTGCTTCCTTTCTATCATGGTTTTGTTACTGCTTTGCCCTTCAACTGCCCTTCCCTTGCACTTTTTATGATATGTGCTCCACTACAGAGAGCTTCAACACACTTTGGTATTCTTCCTTGTGAAAATAAAGTGAAAAACAAGGCACATCAAAACATTAATAATTTGTAGCCACACTTTTTAAAGATTGCACTGTTGAGGATAAAAACGGGCACCGGCATGAATGTAAAGGGGTAAAAGTGGAAAAGATAAAACAACTACAGCTTATCATGTTGAAACAGACTTTTCTTTACTGTGTGTATGGTGAAATATGTTCATGTAGACTTAATAATTTCTTTGTGAAATCTCTCCACCTCTCTTTGTTCTCTTAGTCTAAATGTTTGTACATTTTCCAGGCTTTCATCATTCCCAAGCACTTACTCCCCCCTAATCTTTTCTCTATCTATTTCTATATTTTTCATATGCTGTCTACCTGAGATCTTGTGCTAGCTTCCCTCTTCTATTCAGTATTTCATAAATCATTACACAAATTCAAAGGAAAAAGTAGTCTTTTTTCCCTTATGCCCTTAAATTGAACTATCTTCTTCCACAGGTTGGAAGGACTCATTGACAAGCACACACAACCTAGCTATATTTGATCTTCTCCTTTCTGTTACCCCATTTCATTCAGAAAAGAAAAAAGGAATATTGAAACACTATTTAACCTTATTATCACAGTTAGATGAAGCAGTCCCCTCTTGTTTCTCTGTTCCTATGTTACGTGACCCACTCCTTAAGCCAGACACTGTCTCTTTGGTACCCTTTACTTTTGTATACATTAATGTGCATCCCTATACACATGTAATTTCACACTCAGTTTTCTGTACTCTGTGATCTGGAGGTCAATGTGTGATAAATCATTCCCTAAAAAGTAACAGAGCAAAGGCTCAGAGAAGTTTTTAATTTAGAAAGGGAAGAGACTAAGAAGAGATATAATGAATTTTATGTACATAAAAGAGAGTTGCAATGAGGAATGGAGGAGCCCTTTTCCTTGATTGTTGTGAATAGAACAAGAAATAGTGTGTTTATCTTTGCAGCAACAGAGCTCAGAAATACCATTTTTGTAGTTACAGTAGTGAGGCACTGAAATAAATTGCCTTTTAAAAGCATGGAGTCTCCAGAAAGGAGACTTGTAAGCACTGGTTAGAAAGCCATTTCCCAGGACTAGCATGTGTGTGATTGATCCTGCTGGGAGACAGAGGTGGGTTAGCTCCCTTTCAACACTGCTTTTTGACATTCTTCAGCACTTTGTTGCAAGTAAGTAAACTTGTGAGCCAAAGGAAGCAATGTCATATATAAGCAGCAACACACAACAAAATATGTTATTTGCATCAACCACTGCTAGAGGTAACCTTGTTGAATTTATTCTGATCCAGAAACAAAGATGAGGTACTATAAGAGAAAGTCAAAACAAATGTTCAAAGAGTAAGAAGAAGAGTTAAAGGGAGAATCAATGACACAAAACTAATTAATCGATGACCAAAACAGGTCTATGTTTATTATATATAGGTTTAGCATGTTTTAGCATGTTTAACCTATGTTTAGTGTGTTAGAAGACCTCAGGAGACACATTTTCATGGAGTAGGTGAACTATAGGATCTCTTCCTTAGGAATACTCTGCTGTATTCTGTTGTTGGTAGAAGGCTAAATGACTTTCATTTACTAAATCAATACTGAAGTTCCCATATTTCTCTGTATGCTATACTCAGGGGATTAGGAATACCCAGTATATGCTTATATCAATAGACATATTGGATGAACTGAATGTGTTCTGCAATCTGTTTCATACAGTAGCTCTGCTAACCTGATCTAATGATCCTTCCTGAGCTTTGAATATATGTGAAGCATCTGGCTTTGCTAAGAAAATGAAGCTAAACTCTGTAGATCTTTTTTTATAAAGCATGAAAGCAGAGTGTGGTTAGGACTAAACTGCTGCCAGAAAAGTAACCCTTTTCCTAAAAATAGCCTGTCTCCTTTTCACAAAGACCTGGTGTTTGCCATTTAGATAGTGCACACAAGCTATAGGTTGGAGTTTTTCAAGGGGACAATTAGATAATTCTGTCTATGTGACTGCAAGCTAAGGCAGTTCTCAGGGCCTTGCCCTTTAACTTGTCCTATCGCTATAACAGAATAAAGAGCTGATCTAGCTCAGGTCTTTGACAGTAATCACACATGAGCAGTTTGGCCAAGATCTAATATCGCGTTTACTGCCAGGTCACAGGGAGAGAAACCTTGAGGTATTTTTATTTCTTACATCTTACCTGTGCAACAGAAAGACAGCTTAGTCAGTGCTGAACAAATGCCATGATCTGACTAAGGATTTATCCAAAACGAGAGCACAAGAGAAGAAATGTCTTGTTTTGGCAATTTTTTCAGGCTCTAGAGCCACAGAAGTCAGTGGAAACCCTGCCACAAATTGCAGTGGTCAGGCCCTGTTCAGGGTCTATCCACTTGGCATCAACCTTGCAGAAACCCTTTGCGTCGTTCCTATGGGGCCATCAGTTGAGGCACCACAGGAGGAGCCCCTTTGGAGGCAGCTCCAGTTATCCAGTTATCCCATCTCTTTTATCACCCAAAACTAAATGGCCTCATTGCTGCTTCCTCCTATGAGGAACTTAACATCGGTTAAAGCAATGGCAAAGTTATGTCAGAGAGCTCCATTTTGCAGTCTTTGCCAAGGACATCCAAGCAGTTCCCCTGGAGGGTGGCTCTGGCTTACTGTGTGTCCTTTCAGCCAGGGAAGTGGGTGCCCTGTCTAAAGGGTGACATGATAAAGAGGTCAGAAATAAGTAATACATTTACCCCACTATTGCAGGGGCAGAGCTTAAGCAGCCTCAACTTCAACTGGAAACCCACATTTGAACCCATGAATTGGCATAACCATGGGAGTTACTTGTCATTAACGACATCTTTGCAGTGTGCCTGGGGAACCAGAGGGTTAACCCAGCTTCACTTTTCAGAAGGAAGCAGCATGACCCTGGTCCACCTACCTCTTGTTATACCTGGGTGGGTTTCCCATGGCTGCACCAGCGCCCCTGGCCCGGGCACCCTACGCGAGGCAGCGTCAGGACAACTGCCCTTTGGGGCTGCAGAGGTGCTGTCAGCATGAAGTAGGGCTGCTTGCCTGAGTCCCGCCAGTGCCGCACAGAGTGGGGGGAGCAACCCACCTCCTCTCCCTGCTGCATTATTGGGAGCTTTTTCCTTTTCCTTACAAAGCTTCCCTGCAGGGCAGCTGAGGGCATCCTGGGGAGGGTGAGCGAGCCCCGAGAGGAGGAGTGAGGTGGGGTAGACCATCCCCTCTCCCTGCTGCTGTTGCTGAAGCTGTGCTGGAGCTGGAGCCGTCGATGTGACTCCCCAGAGTTAGTTGCTCAGCAACCAGAATCAATTAATATGCTTTGCAGAAAGTGCAGGGGAAGCCCGAGCTGCTGTCAGCGAGAAGGCAGGAGGCTGAGGGTGACTCAGGATCCCACTCCTGCCTGACACCCATTTGGTCCCACCCCATCCTCTCCAAACCCCCCGTCAGCCACCGTTCCTTATCGCTTTCTCCTTCCCTATGATGACTTAGTGCATGTGTCCCCAGATCCTTCGGGCAAGGTATCTCCTTGCTCAAGAACTCTCCTGCTTCATGGGTTTTGCTTTTAAATCTAATTTGTATTTTTGGGTTATTTGTCAAGCTTTCTCCAACACTTTTCTGGAAATTCTAATATTCACATTCTTTGGGAAGGGAAAGGGACAGCTGATGTTTTTGTTAGATGGTTTTAAAGATTTCTCAGGATGAGAAGGGTTGTTTGGTAGTGCACAGCTGAGCAGCAGTAATGAAAATGCATCATGTGTGAATTGGGAAAGTTTTTGCCTCTTCCTTTATTACAAGTAATCAGCATTGCATATATGAGACCAAAAATGTAGTACTGATTGTTGTGAAACACATAGATACTAGAATAAATAAGGGGGGGTTGTTTTTTTTCTTCTTCTTTTCTGCATAGTAATTTCAGGGCTTCTGTAAGGTATTATTTTCTTTTTTTCTTTCTTTCTTTGATTTTCTTTGAAGTCCCTCTGATGACACCACAAATCTGGAAATGAAGAACTTCTTAGAGCTGATTGGAAATGGCATTGCGGAGCTGAAACTTAACTGGAGGAAATATATCTCCTGAAGAAGAAAATATAATGCACTGTAAGGATCTGACTTCTGGTGAAAAATTCAAGCCTAGAGAAAACTTGTCCGCTTTGTTAGAAAGAATGGGTTGGACAATTTTCTTCAATTCCAAAGGATATCTGAACGCCATGCTGAGCTTAATCTCTGCAGCATGCTCTGTGCTTCTCATCTCTTCCTGATGCACTGCATGGTAAGGCCTTTTTCCTTCCTTTTAATAATAACCGTATTTCTGTTAGGGTGAGAGGTAAAAATAATGGCAATAATCAAATGAAAAATGAAAAAATGTAGAAAGCTAACAAAAGAACGTTTGTTTGTATGGTTGTTTCCAGCAGCAAGTATCCTGATTACTGCAGCAGCTTTGTAAGATCATTTCTGTCTTTCTCCCTTGCTTTGTGACAGTGTGTATGTGCATGTGTGTGTTTGTGCACACCTGTGCTGTCATTTGCACTTGGACTGGAACATCAGTAGCTGTATTGTACATATTTCCACGCTAAAAAGGATGTTTAAGAATATGCTTTGACATTTCTCTCTCTTTCCCCCCTCCCTCCATTCCTCTCCTTCTGCTTTCTCTTTCTCTCATTCTGTCTGTTTCTCTGGGGTCATGGTGCTTTACCTTCCCTGCACCTTGACTGTGCACTGACCGCTCGAAGGCAAAAATAGAAGGTAGAAGAAATCCTATATCAACATAAGAATAGTTCTGAATAAGTATTATCTGAGTAAATAAAAGCTACAGAAGGGTTTTGAATGCCTGTAAGATCTGCAGAAGCAAAAGATTTACTTTATTTTGTTTCCCGTGGGAAACAAATATCAAATGCAGGCTTGGATGTTGTGTTTTAGGTACAGTGGGAGGCAGATCCTTTTACACACATTAGAAAGCCAAAAAATGACCACTGTGAATTATGATGTTACTATTGATGGCCCAAGTCATAAAATAAGCAAACCCAGTATGAAATGTTCTCATATCAAGTAATTTTTGTCATGTATTAGCAGGATGTTAAGAATTATCATAAATGGCTTCAATAGATGTTGCAAGATATTTTTCATGAACAGCTGTAATGTGCTTTTGTCTTCATGGATGAAAGGTATTAGGGGAGTGCAAGGTGATGTTGTTAACTACCTACCTGACTTACCAAAATTTAGGGTCATTATGAGGAAACTACCAAGCAGATCAGGAATTATATAGTGAGTGTACTGAGATGGAAGAACAGGTTAGTTTTCCAGAAAGGCTGGTTTACTTGGATCTCTGTTTCAGAAATTAGGGCAGAACTAAAAGATGAAAGAGTGATGATGTGAAATATATGTATTTTCTTATGCATTTGGGTTGATCACTGAGTTTGGAAGAGGGAAAGTTGAGTGCTCCTTGAAGAGCAAACTGTGGTAAGGGCCTGCCCCTGCTCTGAGGGTAACCCCTCGCAAATCCCACTACTTTTGATGGGATTAGAAATGGACCAGGAGTGGGTTTGTGGGGCGGTTGTCACGGGCTGTCCAGCTGGGTATGAAGATGACAGGTTCCTGGCAGCAGGTTTTGAGAGTGAGAAGGATGGAAAGAACCAAAGCAAAAAGGCCAGGCTGGGCCACACCAGGACTCATGAACAAGAATCAGAGCTTAAATCCTATTCAAAAGATGGAATTTTGTGGTAGTTCCCAATACATCTCCTCCTTCTATGACAAAGGACTCCACAAGACAGTTTTTAGAGAGAGAATGGTAATGCAGGTTTTCAAATCACTGCAGTAGGAGGAAACAGATGATACAAAAACATTCCTGCAGTGTGACAGTTTTTCAGTAGGGTTCAGAGGAATCAGCCTTGATTTTAGGAGTAAAGGTTCAAAATATACATACATGTGCATTAAAGTAGATTTTTTGTATATTTTTACATCTAAAATCTGTGACTAGTATAAGAACCAATAAGGAAAATTGAGGAAGGACAACACAACCCATAAATGTCATCTTCCAGTCTTCACTGTTGAAAGAAGGTCTTACTTGTGGAAGTAGTCCCCTCAGCTCTTTATGTGAACAAGAACCGCATCCTAAATTCAAGTTTCCAGTTGCAAATCTGTCCTCATATCAGCAGTTCCATTTCAATCAATGGGACAACTCGTATGAGTAAGAACTACTCATGTGAATAAATTATGAAAGGTTTTATAAGACCAGGCTCTTTGATTGTCATGGCAACAGATTTATTAGGCTTTGGGCATAATTTGTGTTTCCCTTCTAAACAAAATCATTTTTTCCTCTTACCCATGTGAATCCTTTTGCCTTGTAATTAGGACAACAAAAATAGGTTAATTACATTCTTAAAGATCATGCAACTGTACAGATACATTGTTAGGGAAGAATTATCAGAGTATGTAAAAGTTTACTTTTATTAGTGGTCTCCAAATCGGAGAGAAGTGTATTCTTACTGGAATTATTCATTGCCTTATTTATTTTTGTAACAGTATTAATATTGCTAGGTATTGTCAATTCTTCTGGCAAGTCATAACAAAAGAAAACAAAAAGAAGAATTCCTTTAAAATATCACTGATCTTGTAAAACTACACACTATTATTAGTTTTAAGGATACTTATCAAGCTTTCTATTACATTAAATATGTTCATTTTTTAGCTAATACATGATGTTTAGCTCTTTATTTGATGCAGAAACATATTTATTTTTAGAATACAGAAACACAATATGAAGTCATAATTATAGTAAACTTCCTACAGAATATATATATGCATAGAAATAGGAAGCATGAAATAATCTGGATTTTATTTCCCTGTGCAATTTTGTGTGCTTATAAATGTCTATATTATTAGGATATATATGACAAAACAAGTAATATCTCCTTCACTGTAATTTGTAAAGAACAGTTCCTTTTCAGAATACGGTGCATAGGATTTTTTTTTTTTATGCTAGGCTATCCATTATGGAAGAAAGAAAAATATTAGAAAAAGCAAGCATAGAACCTTTAAAAGGTACTCAGTACACTAATACAGCAGTGGGTTTGTTTGTTTCTTTTATCCCTCTAATAGCAACATACACTTAGCAAGAATAGTGGATTATTTTCTAAAGAGTGTGTGATTTTGAGAGAGAAAGTTTTACATGATACAGAATGTTCATTGTCTTCAGCAGACATTTCTGTCAATGATTTACTGTGACTTAGAACCCTTTCTTTACTGAAATTTTTGATCATTTAAAGATTTGCACAACAGCTGTATTTGGCTTTCTCTGTCAATTCTAAAGCAAGTAAAATTAGTTATTTCATTTTCTTTTAAGATACTATTCAATAAAAGTCTGATGGTGAAAACACATATATTTCATTTCAGTCCATTAAACTGTTTCCTTAGATAAACTATGTGAATTAGAGTTTGAACCATCTGCATTATCAGGAAAATTATACTGAACAGTGCAAATACTTTCCACACTTGCAGCAACTATTTATAGTCAAGAAATATGTACTTTAATAATACAACACATAAGCAGTTCCTGTAGTTGGAATGCCTTGAGCTGTCTTGATTCAAGATCCAGCAAAAACCTGATTTTTGAAAGACTCACAAAAAAAACCAAAACAAAACTAAATGAGCCTTAAACTTTCATTGTTTAAACACAAATAGCCACAGAAAGAATATTTATTTGACAAGAAATTTTCATAAACCAGGACAAAAAATTGGAAAAGCATAATATTTTTTAAAAATTAAAAGCTCTAAAAATCTATATGTATGGAAATACTGATTTTAAAATGACACAACATTTGATTTTAACATTTTTAATGAGACTGTCATTTATTACAAGAAATTGTATTGATATCTGTTAATCTGTTTTTCTCAGTGAAAATTTGCAACTCTTTTAAAATGTTGGTTTTGGGTTTTTTTGACAGGGAAATGTTTTGTTGTATATTTTTTAACTAGATCTGTTATAACTGTCCCAATATTTATTGGCTCTCACAGATCAGTTCTTTAATTAGATACTCTCTGAAAGGCTATCTTTAGTACTACATGTTGTATAACCCCATATTACTGATACTGAACAGCACTTCTTACCAAGTCTGTGGTAGACATAAGCTCTGATTGCGATTCCCTCCTTTAGTTCTCCTTATGTCTTCAACAAAAAGCAGGCGTCCATTTTGCCGAGAGTTTTACAGATATCAAAAGAAGTACTTTCTAATAGAAAAACCTTCAAGAAGCCTTCAAAAGGCAAGCAGGCAAAGAGTAGAATTAATCGAATATTAATATCCTTATTAAATAGATAAGGAACTGAGGAACAAAGAAACTGCCCAAAGCTATACTGTTAAGGGAAGAGTTCGGAGTTGAACTCAAATGTCCTTATTCTCAGTTCATCACTGTCCCTGCAAGGTTGCTCTTCATTTTGTTCATTTTTTTGCTTAATGACTAACATTTGGACTTTTAAGTTAATACTAGTTGAAGTATCAAATGTGAAAGGGAATTATTGATGCGTACTTCCTTTCCAGTCTGACACAGTTGTCCTAAAAATTCTTGTTTCTCTCCCGAGCCATTCTGTTTGAATGTAACCGTTAATTATGTAATTGCTTTACTACGCAGGGGAAGTGTATCCTAGATTAAACAGAAAGTTACTAAATAGAAATATCCTAAACATGCCATAAAGGTTCTGGGGGATGTACTCGTATATCTGTTTATGCTGTCAGGGTTTGGGGATAGCCATAGGACTATGTAATGGTTTTGAGGGCTCTTGGTAAATGAATTAAATTTCAACACAGAAAAAAATCCAGTTAAAACCTAAAAAGACTAACGATTTGCTATCTAGAATTCACACAGGTCATTATGAATCCAGCACTTGTGGGCAAAAAGATGACACAGCATATGGTACCTAACCATGATTCTTATTAACCCCAGTATACCTCCTCTGTCCAAGGCAATCTTTCAGCTTTTTATCCTCTTTATGGAAAAGGAAAATACAGTTTGTACAAAAAGTACTTAGTTGCTAAAATTACATCTGAAGTTGGAGAAAAAAATCTGCCTTGGCATCTTAATACAAACTCAGGAAAAATTCGTACATGTTGAGAAGGCAAAAAAGCTTTTTGCAAATGTGGCAGAGTTTTGGAACGAGTTCTGCAGCAGAATACGCCAGAAGCTTAAGGGGTATCTGCCTCACTCTGGTCTACTTATACAGCTCCAGATGTGACACCCCTCTGGAGGCTGACAGGTACCATGCTTGCCCAACGACACATT